TGTGTCTTCCTGCTAAGGGTGGCATTTACACAAACCTTTCAAAGGTCATTCAAATAGCTGTTGTCTAGAGGCAACACTGCTGAACAAGAAGTATTGGCTTTCTGGGAATGGGATTTTTTCGTGTAACATATTTAGTCAGTATAATGTTTAGGGTTCATTTATTTGGTTTTCATGGTTGTTTTGAGAAACATGGGCTTCCTTGATAGCTCAGTTGGTAAAGAATCCTCCTGCAATGCAGGAGACTCCGGTTTGATTCCTAGGTCAGAAAGATCTTCTGGAGAAGGGATAGGCTACCCACTCCAGTATTCTTGGACTTCCCTTGTGGCTTAGCTGGTAAAGAATCCGCCCTCAATGCAGGAGACCTGGGTTCCATCCCTGGGTTGGGAAGATCCCCTGGAGAAGGGAAAAGCTACCCACTCCAGTATTCTGGCTTGGAGAATTCCATGAACTGTATAGTCCATAGGGTCACATAGAGTCAGACACGACTGAGCAACTTTCACTTTTGAGAAATATATTATGATTAAATATAGGCACTTCCTTTTAGGTGCTTGAGAGAACTTGACTGTATTCTTCGCTTCCAGAAGTAATGTGTGCATGTGCTAGACTAGGCATTCTGCTGATGCTGGAGATGCAGAAATGATGTGCGTGCTCGTCACTCAGTTGTGTCCAACTCTTTGTGATCCCATGTACTCTAACCCTCCAGGCTCTTCTGTCCATGGGATTCTCCAGGCAAGAATACTGCAGTGGGTTGCCAGTTCCTTCTCCAACAGAAATGGTAAAATTGTCCTTATTCTCAGGGGGCTCACAGACTGGCAGGCATAGGAAAAATATAGTATCTTAGTTGCTGAAGGGAGTAGAGAAGTAGCCACACAAGTAGGTTGGGTCAATAGGAAGAGATATCAAGAAATGCTCTTGGGAAGTGACAATGCTTGAAGTGGGTGTTGAGAGATGAGAAGGAAGAAGTTGAGCAGATGAAGCGAGGGAAGAGGGTTTCCAGGTAAGGAGCCAGGGTGGGGCAGAGTGATAGTTATGAGAAAGCATGCCCTACTCTAGAACCTGAAACAGTCCATCTGCCTCACCTGAAGTCGTGAAATAGGGCAGGGCCATGCAATGTACACTACCTTCAATTATCATAGAGAATGATTGAGTGGAGTTGTTTTAGACAATGCAGCATGGACTTGGCCACCTCAGCGGTGTGCAGACCATCTCCAGGCTTTGGGGCCAGCAAGCTCAGCTCGGAACGCTGGCTTTTCGGGAGATCCTGACACCATACTGGGCTCTCTGCGTTAGTGATCTGGCCACGGGGGTGTCTCTTTATCATATGATCAACAGCACAGCATGTAACGTATCATGAGATTTCTGAGGCCTGCCCCAGTGTCATCTCATGAAATAGGACCTCGCCACTCATTAGCACAGAAATTTTCACTGGGACCCTCATTTTCTATGAAAAGTGAAAGTGTTAGTCGCTCAGTCGTGTCCGACTCTTTGTGACCCATGGACTGTAGCCTGCCAGGCTCCTTGGTCCGTGGAATTCTCCAGGCAGGAATACTGAAGTGGGTTGCCATTTCCTTCTCCAGGGGCTCTTCCTGACCCAGGTGTTGAACCCAGGTCTTCCGCATAACAGGCAGATTCTTAAATCGTCTGAGCCACTTTCTACAAAGTTAAATCCAAAACTGTAATGGAATTCAAGATCCTCTGCCATCTGCCCCCCATATGTCCTTCTAGAATTAAGTTGGAAGAATTTGATGAGTATAATAATAAGGTTTTTGAGGTTAGGCTGTTCTGCGGTTGAATTTTAACTCTGCTGTTTACTTAAGCCCACATAACATGTACACCCGTGGCTGATTCATGTCACTGTGTGGCAAAAACCACCACAATATTGTAAAGTAATTAGCCTCCAATTCAGGCAAGAATACTGCAGTGGGTTGCCAGTTCCTTCTCCAACAGAAATGGTAAAATTGTCCTTATTCTCAGGGGGCTCACAGACTGGCAGGCATAGGAAAAATATAGTATCTTAGTTGCTGAAGGGAGTAGAGAAGTAGCCACACAAGTAGGTTGGGTCAATAGGAAGAGATATCAAGAAATGCTCCTGGGAAGTGACAATGCTTGAAGTGGGTGTTGAGAGATGAGAAGGAAGAAGTTGAGCAGATGAAGCGAGGGAAGAGGGTTTCCAGGTAAGGAGCCAGGGTGGGGCAGAGTGACAGTTATGAGAAAGCATGCCCTACTCTAGAACCTGAAACAGTCCATCTGCCTCACCTGAAGTCGTGAAATAGGGCAGGGCCATGCAATGTACACTACCTTCAATTATCATAGAGATTGGTTGACTGGAGTTGTTTTAGACAATGCAGCATGGACTTGGCCACCTCAGCAGTGTGCAGACCATCTCCAGGCTTTGGGGCCAGCAAGCTCAGCTTGGAACGCTGGCTTTTCGGGAGATCCTGACACCATATTGGGCTCTCTGCCTTAGTGATCTGGCCACGGGGGTGTCTCTTTATCATATAATCAACAGCACAGCATGTAACGTATCATGAGATTTCTGCCCCAGTGTCATCTCATGAAATAGGACCTCGCCACTCATTAGCACAGAAATTTTCACTGGGACCCTCATTTTCTATGAAAAGTGAAAGTGTTAGTTGCTCAGTCGTGTCCGACTCTTTGTGACCCATGGACTGTAGCCTGCCAGACTCCTTGATCCATGGAATTCTCCAGGCAGGAATACTGAAGTGGGTTGCCATTTCCTTCTCCAGGGGCTCTTCCTGACCCAGGTGTTGAACCCAGGTCTTCCGCATAACAGGCAGATTCTTAAATCGTCTGAGCCACTTTCTACAAAGTTAAATCCAAAACTGTAATGGAATTCAAGATCCTCTGCCATCTGCCCCCCATATGTCCTTCTAGAGTTAAGTTGGAAGAATTTGATGAGTATAATAATAAGGTTTTTGAGGTTAGGCTGTTCTGCGGTTGAATTTTAACTCTGCTGTTTACTTAAGCCCACATAACATGTACACCCGTGGCTGATTCATGTCACTGTGTGGCAAAAACCACCACAATATTGTAAAGTAATTAGCCTCCAATTAAAATAATTAATTTAAAAAAAAGAAAAAGGAGAATTCAATAAAATATAATTTCGAGTAATTCGTATGGCAAACATTATATAAAACAGCTGACTATATGATAATTCATATTTTGCTTCAGACATTTTAAATTATGTTTTACTGTTAGTGCTTTCTGAATATATCCTGTATTTCTGACTTTGATACTTTCGGAACCACTGTCAGATAGAATTCTACTTGGCCTACCTCAGGTGTCACCATCTTCAAGGAGCCTTTAAAAAATAATTGAAATTAATAATTCTTTTCTTATTTCAACAGAAATTGATACCTCTGGTACAGAAATAATACTGATAACTTTTAAAATAATTTTAGAGGTTGAGTCTTTACTCATTTCTTCGGTGTGCTGCGTCTTTGTTGGTGTGCACAGGCTTTCTCTCGTTGCGGCGAGCGGGGGTCACTCCTCACGGTGGTGAGAGGGCTTCTTGTGGTGGCTTCTCTTGTCGCAGATCACAGGGTCTAAGTGCAAGCTTCAGTAATTTCACCACAGGGGCTCTGGTTGTGGCCCACGGGCTTTAGTCGCTCCACAGCTTGGGAGTCTTCCTGGACCAGGGGTGGAACCCGTGTACCCTGCTTGGGGGCTCTTACCCACTGTACCACCAGGGAAGCCAGCCCTATTTGCTAAATTTAAATACAGTGAGAAGAGATGATGTTTTAGAATTTATACAATGTCTAGAACAATTTCTGGAGCTTATTCAATTGATTTGTTAGTTTATAATGAGCCATTTACTCATAAAATAATGATGCTATTGAGAAATTCTACCACTGATAAATACATTATTCTGAATTTTGGTTTATAAGTGGATTCATGTTCCTGTATTGTGCACATAATGATAAAGATGATAGTCACCTAGTAACAAAATGGGAAACAGTTTTCCGAATGTGTATTTGTGTATGGAATATCACATGCACCAAAGAGAAATTAAAACATATATTTTCTTATCACATATGTTTTATTGAAGACATATATAAAACATTATTATATTCAGTAATATATTGCAATCAGAAGTATCTAATCCAAAAGAGGGAATATTTTAAAAGAATGTTTTTCTGAAAGAAGTTTATAAATTCTGTCTTGTCAATGTCTTCTTTTCCCTTCACCTGATAAGACTTTTCTAAGAGAACCCATTTATTCACTCTATGGGGCAGGAGATATAACTCAAACTACATTCTATTGTGTTTGTTTATTAAATCTCATTTCATGGACTCCTGGGTTCATTTTCAAATGTTAACATAAATGCTATGTCATCTTTATCTCCTAGCTATATCAGTACTCTCTTAAGCAGGAGAAATCTTGCTTTATGCCTTTTATTTTGTTTGAGATGATGTTTTTAACATGCCAGTTTCAGAGGCTTGAGTCACATATGATTGATACCTAGAATGATGGAGAATTTCCTCTCCACTGATAATGTTGAGAGAAAAAATGAAATGGTTTTGGTCTCGTTTCCATGGGTAGTATGGGGGAATGCATCCAGCAGAAGTGGGGTTTCTCTTTTCAAAGCACCATTAAATCTTTACATATTGATAGTGGGATAGATCACAGAAAATTTTTCTATAAAATGAGAGAACTGGACAAGAGATTGTGAGATGCCCCAAATTCTTCAACACTTTTACTTATAAAAATATTAAGCCAGAAGCACTACAGTTATTTCCTTCCAGAAGAAAATAAGCCCTGAAAGTAAATTTATTCCATTTATATTATCTTACTAGTCACATCATTATACTTACGATTATATAGTTTACATATTTTACAGAATTAAATAAAACTATCTTGCTAGAATTTCTTTTTCTCAGGACAACTTGATGCCTACTAAGAATAAGCAATCTGTGCATGCGTTTCCATTTTATTTATTCAACATTACTAGTAGCATTAAAAAGAGAAACACAACTTGGTAACGGAATTAAATATTTTGTTAATTATTTTTGGTAGGAACTCAAAGCCATATCCCCAGAGTTTTAAGTCTAGAAATGAATTAGAAGCTTTTTGAAGACAGGAATCTTGCCAGTTGTCTTCAACTAACATTCAGAGTCAAGACCAGCACTCAACACAGAGAAGCTTCCAAGCAAATATTGTTGAATGTATGCATAATTACAGAGGTGCTTTTAGAGGCTATCTGGTTGCCAAAGGAAGAGTCTATGACTCAGGTCAGTGAAACTGATTAAAGCACATTGCATATGGTTTTCTGACATAATTAACAAAAGCAGGGAAAAAATTGTTCTCTAAGGAGTAAAATCTCCAATACTTCTCCTGGAAACTGTTTCTGTTGTCATGTTGTCATAATTATATTTCTGCTAGTCTAAATTAATTTACAGTTGATACAAATTAATAAAGTGCAATAAGAATTCATCCATATTGATATGAATATATGCATATCTATATATGTATATAATTCCTTTTGATGGACCATTTTCAGTGACACATTCAGCTAAGAAGCTCTTTCCCTGTATTATATTAAGCATTATATTATATTAATCATTGCATATCTTGAGAAACCATTTGACGAGACAAGTGACTTTAGAACTCTATTGATAGATTCTCTGTCTTCTTTTTCAATTTCATTTCAGAAGTGTACATTTAATTCATTCTTTCCACTTAAAAGTTTTAAATAGAAATATGTCTATAAGTTAACATGGCTAGTGAATGCAGACAAGGCTTTTCCACGCAACATTCAAGAACAAGAGCATCTTGGTTTATATGACCAGTTTTACAGGCTTGAAGTCCTTAAGATTCACTGTATGAATTATGTGCTATTTAGTAGACAGTATCAAAGGATGTAACATTTTCTTTAAGTTTTTTTTGCACATAATTTAAAATCAGAAAAAAAAATTAAAAGCTTGTCTAAAGTGCTTAGCCATATTATACCCCAAAATATATCATCAAAGAATCTCACTGAATTTAGAATTTTTGAACAGTTGTTGACTTAAAATGTTAAATATGGTACACTGAGCATCTTTGATGGACATGTTGGTGATTACAAGGTGCATGGTCTCCATAGAGAGCATTGACCATAATTACTGTTGGGAGTAATGTATGTTACTGTACCGTGTTACTCTGTGTCGCGATGTCACTGGGGATGTGGAACCAATAGTTTGGCTTATGCGAAGGTCTGGACTCACCATTTGTGTCACTTGAATTTCTGGCCCTACCAAAATGCCACCACTCATCACAGATCCCCTACAGCCATCACTCATGCTACTACTGCTCACATCAGGCCTACCAGGACTAGACACCACTCTCTCAGCATAGATTACGTTGTGTGTGTTGGCTAACTCAGCAGGGACACAAATATTCCCTTGAACCTCGTAGACAGGTGCCATTACTGTTTCTGTTACTACAACATTGGGTGCAAGCTGAGGATCAAAGACAATTGCAGTGGGTTGCACGCATGGATCAGCAGTAGTGTAAGTCTCGGTCACTACAATATCCCCGTGCATCACGGGTTCAGGTATTGCCATTTCTTCTTGGAATTCAGCCTCTGAGACAGTCATTCCTGAAGACTCATTAACAAAGTAGTTTGGCCCAAGTAAAGGGAGATCAGTGCTGATGGGGATACAGGACTGCTGTGAAGGAAATGGGTCGATTTCTGTGTTTAAGCAGATTTCAGCAAGAGTCTTAAATTTCGGATCTAAAGTTTCCATGTAGCTTTCATCTAAATCATCCACAATCCAACTGCAACAACCAATGGAGCCCACAGGAGACCCTACTCCTTCGTGGTCATAAATGAGCAAACAATCGTTTGCGGGGCGGCCTTCGTCTTCGCCTGCATAAGCATATGCTTTCTACATTTGGAAGAAAAACAGATAATTAGAGTTTCTTTTCTCTATAAAATAATTGGAGAAGAACAACAATACCTTAAAGACATCTGATCTAAGATGAGATACCCTGATTGATTGCCGTATTTCTAAATAATTGGAATTCTGAAAGGAGATCATTGTGCATAGTCTTTTGTTTCTGAGGTGGTCTGAAATAATAACATATTTATTTATGTGCAAAACATTATTTAAGAAGAGATATTTAATCAATTTGAAATAAAAGCATCTAGAGGTGTACATAGCTCTGTGTTTCAGAGGCTTATTTTATGTGGCCTAGGTGAAGAGAATTGGGGTGTTTTTGGAGTTATGTTATCAGGAGGGAGTTATCTACTGTGATTTAAAATTTTTTTTTTAATGACAGACCCCTTAAATGAAATCCTAGGCATGACTCCAACATGTAGAAGTGATGAAATGAGAACTTGTTTGTTTAAAGATGTGGGGTGGGAGCAGAGACCTGGTGGTTCCCTTCCCTATTTGCCTCAACTGCTATAGCCTTTGGTGGTTTCCAGGAAATCCCACAGGACCTGCCCAAAACCATCCAAAATCCCTTGATATAATCTGACCCTTTCTTTCTTTTATAAATAAGGTAACCACAAGCCCAGAGAAGGTGAATGTCATGCCCAAGACTTAAATAGTTGTCCAACACATCAAATCCACCGGTCTTTTCTCCACTGCATCATGCTGCTTTTCCTACGGTCTGTACCAGAGTCTACATCCCTACCTTTTCTTAAAAAAAATTTCTATTTATTTATTTGGCTGTGCCAGTTCTTAGTTGTGGCAAGCAGGATTTTTAGTTGTGTTGTGTCAGATCTAGTTCCCCAACCAGGGATCAAACCCAGGGCCTCCCACATTGGGAGTGAGGAGTCTTAGCCACTGGGCCACCAGGGAAGGCCCTAAATCCTACCTTTAAAAGTAAATGACTTTAGGTCTTGAAATTAATTACTCATGAGTTTGGTATCCTTAAGACTTTGCTGTTGAATATTTTACATGACTAGGAAGGGGACAGCCTTCTCTTGCCTGCAGCACAAGTTAGCTGCTGGGCTGGGTGGTGGTGGTGCAAAAAAGTGACTAGAAAGAAGCATGGATACCGCTCTGCAGAGGTTTTACCTTGCAGAGGGAAAGGCTGATTCTCACTGCTTGAAATTCAGTGCCACGTTTTAGTGTTAAAAAAATGCTAAAATGTTTGGCATGACCTCACTGCCCATAGAAAGAAGAATGCACTTTGATTTTCTTGGTCCCATAAAACACCAACTGAAACCAAGTGGGGGGAAAAAAAAAAGCCCAGTGCAATTTCGACAGGAATGACAAAGTTCCTTAAATATTAGTGTGACTTTTATGAATGATTCTTTGAATATAATTTCTAGGACACTTCTATGACATGTATATAATTTGTGCCCATTTGCCAAATGTACTTGAGTGGTAATGATGGCTCATTTAAATAACTGATACTATTCATGCCTTGTCTATAGTGGTATTGGTAACCACCAATTTTAAGATACAACTTACAACAACATATTTAGCATTTTTTTAAGAGCAGTGGTGAAACTCACTTGTTGCCACATAAGGAGTAAAATGGGCTAATTAGAATATGAGATAAAATGGACTGCTAAATAAAAGAAATAAAGGTACTAAATAGGAATTCACAAGATAATTTAAATAAATCCTCTGTTTATCCTTTGTGCTACCCTCTTAGGCCATCCCAGTGCCTTGCGTCTTTCCTCCTGGCATGCTCATAGACCCACGATCCTCGCCCCTAGTGAGGGACACAGTGCCTGTGCCCTGGATAGAGATGAGGAGACCTGGGTTCCAGGCCCTAATCTGTCATCAAATCTTGGTGAGGCCCTATTCCTCAGTTTCTGCTCTCTTTCTTCCCTAATTCTGGCTTTTGATTTATTTTTTCTCCTTTCTGTTGGAGGTATCTGCAGGACTGAAAGGACACCATGAAGAACAGACATGAACATACAGTTTTCCTTGATCAGGATTCTCTTTCTTTGCTCTTTGCTGTGGGAAACAATGTGGGAACATCAGAAAGAAACAAAATACAGGAAAATAGCAGAAGGGAAATGGAAAATGATGAGATACTAGCCTTTTTCACAGTAGTCAGATGTATTATGTATTGGATATAACATGTGTCAGTAAGTTGGCTTTTTGTATTTTAAGGAAAAGTGAAATATTTTTTATTCAAGATTAGGATAGAGTTAAAAGTAACTGAATATATCTCAGAAGAGAATCTACTGCCATTATTATTATGCAGTCTCAAGAGTGAATGATAATATTGTTGAACTCTGTGCAGGGGAATTACCTCAGAGAAATATTTTTTTATTCAGGACTGGGATAGAATTAAGAGTCACTGAATATATTTCAGAAGACTCTGCTTCCATTATTATTATTATTCAGTCTCAAGACTATTTTGTGGAACTGTATGCAGGGGAATTATCTCAGAGAAATATTTTTTTATTCAGGATTGGGGTAGAGTTAAGAGTCCCCGAATATATTTCAGAAGACTCTACCGCCATTATTATTATTATTATTCAGTCTCAAGACTATTTTGTGGAGCTGTGTGCAGGGAAGTTACCTCAGAGAAATAGCTGTCCAGGAAAGCCAGGTTCAGGCCGGTGTCCCCATAGTCTCGCTGGATGCCCACCGCCGAGCTCCTCCTTCCCGCGGTGCCCGCTGCTCCCCCGGCAGCCAGGCCAGCGGCCGCCCCCAGACCGGTATTGAGCTCCACTCCTGAGACACCCCCTTCAACTGTTCCTCCACCTGCGTAGGTGTTAGTGTAGATTTCTGAAAAGAGAGGGCGTTCAATGGTGCTGGAGTCATCTGCATTGTTTACCCACATAAACACTGTCAGCAACACCACCACCCCTTCTCCCCAACAAAGGGAAGGCTCTGGAACACTAGTATAGGAGCAATTCCAACTATATCTATAATCTTCAGGCTTGCTGATAAAAATAAAACTAAATAAACAGTACAAAGAGAGCCAGGTATTAGGTGTGGCTTTGTCACCTTTTGGGAACCTCCATTCCAAAGACTTGAAGGTGTAGAATAGGCCAGAGAAGCAGGGCCTCCGTTTTGCCCACATGAGTTCCTTCTCTGGCTGCCTCTTTGCAGCTCCCCCAGCCTGGCTGAGAAGACTTGCACTCACTCATGAGCCCTCCAGAGCAAGGCCAGCCACGTGTTTGCAGAAACTGAAACTCAGGGTCCTCATTCACCCTGGTGCTGGATGGGGAGTGGTCTTCCATAGGAGTGTTCAGTCCCCTTAGGCTCTTTGCAGCCAGAGTCTGGCTTGGGATACTCAGAAACCATCACTGAGAAATCACAAGCCCGCTCTAGAACTGGGCAGCCTCTCTGCTTTGTTCAGTTATTGCCCAATGCTGGGTATTTTTCCAGTATTTTAGGGTGTGTCTTGGACTCGGTAAATTAGGAGAGAATAAGAGTGGTGAGGCAAAAGTTCCTTATTTCAGCTCAGTCACTCAGTCTTGTCCAACTCTTTGTGACTCTATGGACTGCAGCACGCCAGGCTTCCCTGTCCATCACCAGCTCCCAGAGCTTGCTCAAACTCATGTCCATCAAGTCCATGATGCCATCCAACCTCTCATCCTCTGTCGTCCCCTTCAGTGTATTCTTAGGAGAACATATTTGCTGCTTCGTTTTTTCTTTCTTTCTTTCTTTTTGAACTGCTAGTTTTACAAATAATGGTAGCACTTANAGGATAGGTATTAGCTCTTGTCTAAATGTTTGAGAGAATTCACCTGTGAAGCCATCTGATCCTGGAGTTTTGTTCATTGAAAGATTTTTAATTACAGTTTCAATTTGATTACTTGTGATTGGTCTCATTTATATTTTCTAATTCTTCCTTTCTTTAGTTGTAGCATGCAGGATCTTTTTAGCTATGGCATACAAACTCTTAGTTGTGGAATGTGCAATATAGTTCCATAACCAGGGATCAAACCCAGACCCCCAGTATTGGGAGCACAGAGTTTTAGCCACTGGACCAGGGAAATGCCTATGTTAAACATTTCAAAAATGCTGTATTTTCAGGTTTGTGCAGTGTATAGTTATCAGGGCCTGCTGAATCCCATTGGAACATGGAGCTTATGTGGAAGCTGACGAATCCACTCACCCTGTCCTCGGGATGGGCCCCTTCTATTCTCCAGGATTGCACCACTCCTTCTCCCCCCTCAGGCACAGGAGCGAAACTCGCCCCCAGCCCTTGCGGCTGTTCTCGTTTGCAGCAGCAGCACAAGAGCAGCAAGAGCGGCGCCACTGCCCAAGAAAGGGGAAAGCGAGAGTTAACACAAACTGCCCAGTTTAGGGAGTCCTCAAATGCAGCCCTTTTGGGAGAGTGCGGCATGACATTCAGAACTAGAGGGAAGACTCCAAATGTAATTCGTTAATTTCCCCTGAAGGGTTGAGTGGGCCTCCCTTGGTGGCTCAGATGGTAAAGGATATGCCTGCAGCGCAGGAGACCCAAGTTCGATCCCTGGCTTGGGAAGATCCCCAGGAAAAGGAAATGGCAACTCACTCCAGTATTCTTGCCTGGGAAATGCCATGGACCCAGGAGCCTGGTAGGCTACAGTCCATGGGATTACAAACAGTCGGACACAACTGATCGAATAACATTAAGGATTGAGTATACATATCCATGTTTATAGATACAAATCCGCTAATCACTTAAGATCAGGTAAACTGGGTGCTTTAATGACCGATTAGGCAAATAAGGTTCTTTTTCTTGCTAATCTAAGACTCCTTCTTCTTGCTAATCTAAGACTCCAAACTGGTTGTTGGCAGACCCAGGATTCAAATCCAGTTTTATGTTTCCTAGTCCCCTATGTACATGTGTGCACATTTATACATGTGTTTATGTCTCTGCTTTTCCTATGTTCTAGACTGCTTTTCTGGATTTCCCCACACACCATGCTTCTTCTAAGATCTTCAGCTCAAAGTCACTTTCTCCATCAGGACTTCCCCAACTTTCCCATTTAGACTTAATTACTTCTGCCTTTCTGCTCTTAAAGGACTCTGATGAAATTGTCATGATGGGATTACTTTATGCTCTGCTCTGTTACCGGCCATGACTGAGCTACTGAACAACAGCAGAAATACTATACTTAGGGGCTCGCACGTTTCCTGTCTTTTTGATCTTCACTAACCCTGGACTTCTTTTTTTTTTGTTGTTGTTGTTGTTCAGTCACTCAGTTGTGTCCGACTCTTTGGGACCCCATGGACTGCAGCACACCAGGCTTGCCTGTCCTTCACTATCTCCCAGAGTTTGCTCAAACTCATGTCCATTGAGTTGGTGATGCCATCCAACCATCTATCCTCTCTCTTCCCCTTCTCCTCCTACCCGCAGTCTTTCCCAGCATCAGGGTCTTTTCCAGTGAGTTGGCTCTTCATGTCAGGTGGCCAGAATATTGGAGTTTCAGCTTCAGCATTAGTCCTTCCAGTGAATATTCTTACTTACCATTATTGAACAAGTAGCATGCCCATATCAGTCCCATTGTTTATTTCCAGATTTCCACAAACATTGCCATAGGTACCAAAAAGAAATGGCCATTCCAGTGAACCTGATTACATTCTTAATTTGAAGAACTGCTGAAAAGAGGGATTTAATCCAGTACTTACGAAGCAGCAGTAAGATGCCCATAGTGATCATGCCAATCCCTGTTGATCCTATACCAACATTTGAAGCCTCAGTTTGGTCGTCAGTGACAGATACACTGGTGACAGAGCTACCATCCCCGGTGCTGATGTCTGTGGTACCGGGGTACAAGCACATGTGGTTGATGTCACAGTCACAGGCCCTTAACTCTATGATCTGCGGCAATTCACATGCTCTGTTAAAACTGTCCTTTACTAGGATTGGGATTTCATAGTATCCGGAATATAAAGTCTGCTCAGCTTTCAGGATTGCAGAGGTAGCTGAAAAGCAAGAGAGAAAATAAATTGAAGATGGGGTACATATATATATATAATGGAATATTACACAGTTATAGAAAAGAATTGAAGTCATGTTGCAGCAACATGAACAGACCTAGAGATTATAATACTAAGTGAAGTCAGACAGAGAAAGAAAAATATCATATGATATAGCTTATATGTGAAATCTAAAAAGATGATACAGATGAATTTATTCACAAAACAGAAATAGACTCACAAACACAGAAAACAAACTTTGATTACCAAAGGGGAGATTGGGGGGGGGGGATAAATTAGGAATTGGGGATTAACAGATAGATACTAAAATATATAAAAGATAAAAAATAAGGTTCTACTGTATAGTAGAGGGAACTCTACTCAATCCTCTGTAAAAATCCATATGGAAAAAGAATTTGGAAAAGAATGGATATATTTGTATGTTTAACTGAGTCACTTTGTTGTATACCTGAAAGTAACACAGAAATTGTCAAGTGACTGTCCTCGAATATACAGGAAAAATTAAAAGATTTCTTGAGGAGTAACTCTTCCTAATACCCATGATTAACTTATGATCTGACCTTTTTTCATGCTCATCATAGAATACATTGTCAGTTTTTAAAAATTAACACTTATGATGCTTACTTCCAGAGCAACACTACTTGGCATATAATATGCACTCAGTGGATATTTGTCCAATGAATGAAGAATATTGAGCTGAAAGGAAATATTGGAAGTTTTCTATTTGGGATGACAGCCTCCAAATCCCCTCATGAAGACTGTTCATCTCTTATTCAAAATCACTGTCTTAACATTTAAAATTATTCCCAAAACTATTATTTTACTAATTCTTTGTGCTGTGATTATCTATTGATTTTTATAGAAACCATTGCTTAAAACATGTTGAAATTTATCAACCTGAGGAGGCCTTAGAAGTGATTTACTCTTAAATCATGAATAGTAATTGATGAATCCTCAACACTCAATAACACTCAATTATTATTATTGTTAATTATTACTATTATGGGTTATTGCTTTCAGTTAGCTATGTAATAAGCTGGCTGTGTCTACCAAAATGTAACCTGAGCTCAAAATAAGAGTCAAATAAGGCATAGCCCCAACCTTAAATGGGATTTTTTCTTTTCTTCAAGACCAGCATGTAAATAGGACCCTAAGAATATTCTTTCTAATAAGACTATATTTTTTACTGGCAAATCTATGATATAAATACCTCATGCTGAATATTTTTCTCTTGTTTTTCCTCATAAAATCTAGGATATGAATGAGGAAAAAGTAGTTAGCAATTATTTAAGAATAACATATTGAATTCTGTATGGAACGATGAATTCAGAGTTATCTTGATCTTAATGGAATTGCTTAGCTTTTAAAAATATTAAGGTGGTTTTGTGCAAAAGGGCTAAAAGGTTTTATAGTGAAAACAGGTTACCTAATTTCCTCCAAGTCCTTAATGGTGGCATTTTTTTTTTTCCTGGAATCATTTTAGGATGAATGGAAAAGCTTGGTGGCCTCAGAAAGGTGGGTTTTTCCTCTTACCTTGAACTCTGACCACCATCTTACCACCCTACTCATAATGTCTCTCCTGTTTCTCCAAATGAATGTCTGACGAGGGAGCTATTGTGGCCAGAATGGGGGTTTCCCAAGTGGCACTTTACCAGGTGGTAAAGAACCCACAGGCCAATGCAGGAGATGTAAGAGATGTGGGTTTGATCCCTGGGTCGGGAAGATCCCTTGGAGGAGGAAATGGCAACCCTCTCCAGTATTCTTGCCTGGAGAATCCCATGAAAAGAGGAGCCTGGTGGGCTACAGTCTCTGTAGACGTAGGGTTGCAAAGAGTTGGATGCGACTGAAGTGAGTTAGTATGCACATGTCCAGAATGAAATTGTCTCAAAACATTTCATTTTCTATTATACATCTAACATCTCAGGAAAAAGAACCCAAGGTATGTAAATTGTTAAGATGCCTGAAATTATATCTCAATTTTTATCAATGTGAGGCCTTTATTTTAAAGTAGCAACAGTTATCATAAACATGCATACTATTATGGACTCTACACTTTTGGTGGAAATAGAGTTGGAAAGTATTATTATGTGACTTGACTAATTACTTGGTAATTGTTTTTGCTTTTGGCCTTAGAGTATAAGCAAATTTGCATTCTACTTACCATTTACTGATCTGATATCCCAAATGTTCGCTGTCCCTGGGGGTTCATTAACAACACAGAAGGTAAAGGGAGACCCATAAGAGTGACTGTTAACGTCTGCAGCAGAGATGAGGACGGAGGGAGAGGCAATGCAGATGTTTTCTCTCTCAGCAACAATGACTGGGCAGTAATCGTTGACATCAGGAACTTCGATACATATGGTTCCCGTGGCCGTTTTTACAGAGCCATCTGAAACAGCAAGACATATAGGGTGATGGGGTGAATGGTGATGGGGAGAAAGTTCTTTCTCATATCCCATGATGATGCCACAGCATAGAGGAATAGTATGACTTGACTCCTGAGATGGTGCGTGATAGGATCCTACCTGCTTAAAGCTTAGTACCTTCCAGACACACTGGCTTCTTTTTAGTTCTTTGAACTCATTCTTTCCTAAACCGAACACTTGTGCCTTCTAATCACTCTTCCTAAAATGTTTTTCATCCCTATTTCATTCAGCTACATATCTCAGAATGCAAAATTCAGTGTCCTTTCTCAGAGAAGGTTTCCTGCTTTCTAGTCCACCGTATCTCCCCAAAGGAGACCCCTGTAGTCCAGTTTAGAGCCTTTCATTCTGGGTACTTATTGAGTCTGGTGTTTGTGGAAATAACTGCAGTTGAAGTTAAACAATTGTTTGAGTATTTTTTTTTTTCCTTTTTCACTATTTAAATCCATCCATTAGATAGACACTGTTTCTCTCTGAAATGGCACTTCTGAAAACAAATATATTTGCTTTTTTCCTAACCCATTTGAAACAAATTTGGGGTTAGTATGTTATTAGAAGGGACAGAGGACCAAGAAATAGGAGTCTGGGCTTTTAGTCTACTTTTATACTTTATGTTGAATAAAGAGTTGTTTTGTTTTTTACTTGCAGAGAGTCGTAGTATTTTCATTTGTGAGTCAGAAAATTATCATCTCTAGGTATTTGGCTTGGTCACTCTTTATGAAGTTAATAAATGTCTTTTAAAGATGTCTTCTGTTGCCTAAATGGTAGAGTCATTTAGTTACTCGAATGATAACAAACCAGGAGCCTATTCATACTGTATATGGTTTTGCACAGTATATTCTTATATCCGATTTGGGCGTTGACTTTCTATTCTAGATTTAGGTTCATTAGAGAGACACTGGGTTATCCCGCAGATTAGATTATGTGCTGTATTGTTCTCTCATCCTCTGGAACTTTCTTATGGCCTTGGGCCGTGGGCGTCCCTCGTGGCTCAGCTGGTAAAGACTCCGCCTGCAATGCGAGATATCTGGGCTCGATCCCTGGGTTAGGAAGGTCCCCTGGAGAAGGGAAAGGCTACCCACTCCAGTATTCTGACCAGGAGAATTCCACGGACTGTATAGTCCATGGGGTCATAAAGAGTCAGACACGGCTGAGCGACTTTCACTTTCTGTGGCAAACCACAGCTAAAGCTACTGTCGACAGCATCTGCTCCTTGTCGTGTCTGCTGTAGGCAGAGCTCTGCTTCTTTACCTACTGGCCAAGCATCCTTGAGCAAACTTATTCCAAGTGTCTGGAAGGCTTGTGCCAGTGCAGATACTTGGCTTAGGAGAATAAACAGTGGCCCTTGTTTTTAGGTTTCTGTGTGTACATTTTCATGTAGTTTTCTTTTTATTTACTTGACTAATTTTTTATTCTAGTTTTTGAACTAGAATTGGATTTTCTCGTATGACCTATTGGCTGTGATCAACCTGGCTAGAATTCATTTTCAGAATACTGATAATAAATAGGATATAATATTTATATAACTCACACAGATGCTGAAAGTGACACTCATAGGATGAAGACCAGAATGTATGGACTGTAATTGGGTATTACCATGGTTTCTCTTTCAATCCTATACTGACTGTTTATCTTTCTGTTTGTTTGGCTACTGTAAATTTCAGGTATAAACAATGCAATCCTGCAATATCTATCTTCTATTAGGTATGTACTTGAGACATCTATCGTCTCCCTTCTTTCCTGGTTACTGGCCTTTTTCTGCTGTTTTGTTTCATAGTGGCTGGTTTCCTAGCTACTGCTAGGAAATAGCAGTAGTAGCCTTTGCTCTGGAGAATCATTAACTGTTGCTAAACAAACAAATTCCTGTTGCTACTCACCAAGAGGAATGCTTAATAGATTTTCCCACGTGAGGAACTGCTCAATTACAAGTTACTTCAGTGCATCTGCACTTATGAATGTAATTTGAATCTTATATTTGGAATAACCTTGTGGTTTCTTGGTCTTCAACATTTTTCTTTGGACAACAATACTCACACAGGCCTCTTACTGTAGCTCAATTTTAGTGGTTCTGAAATAACTATACACTTTGGGACACTGCCTTACCTACTGGTGAATTTTGAGCACACTTTGTATCGCTTACTTAAGTAAACATTTCTGACATACTCTACAAGCTGATTAATTGTCTCAAGAGATGAGGGCTAAAGCAGAAACTGAATTTTATTTATATATTTTAACTTTTATGCTTCACACTGTAAATCACATACAATTTTTTTTTGTAAATAGGTAAAATAAATTATGACTTAAATGTAAATTATGATTATAAGGATACTGAACTCAGTCCTTGATCTAAGGTATTTAGAACTCTCTGTAAGTCTTAAAGACACCAATAAACTGTATGTTGGATTTGAGTCAATCTAGTAGCAACATTAGAATATTACTTGTCCCAGGTTGAATGCATGAGACAAGTGCTCAGGGCTGGTGCACGGGGAAGACACAGTGGGATGGGATGGGGAGGGAGGCGGGAGGGAGGATCTGGATGGGGAACACATGTAAATCCATGGCTGATTCATGTCAATGTATGGCAAAACCACTACAATATTGTAAAGTAATTAGCCTCCAACTAATGAAAATAAATGAAAAAAAAGAATATTACTTGTACTGAATGTATTAGTAATAATTTTATTAAGAATTGACAATAAATTTTCTTACCATCTATAGCCAGGATTTCTGCTGTGTATATCCCATTGGTAATATATTTTGACTTCTTATCAAATTCCCTAGAAAATTGTATCTCGCCAGTCCTTGAATCTATTTTTAACCAGTTGCCTGCGTCATGTCCTATGATATACCTGTTTTTAGATAAATACATTCATTATTTGCTTATATAGAAGTTAATCATTTTAAGCTGCACAATGTGTTAATCTTATATATGGTATTTGCATGCTTTATAGTGACAACTGAGTCAGTTTATAAAATATATAGAGAATAAAATTCCAGTATTGAACATATTTATGTACAGATTCACAAAAGAATTTTATAATCTCATAATTCTTACTCTTCTGGCTCTTAATATAATTGTTAATAGAATGTATGAAATTATTTCAGGGTTGTTTATAAAATCATAGCAGTGTCTATTGAAAGAATGTGAGAATGTGCTTTATTCATTTTCACATGTGATACATTTTTTTCTTAGATTTTAATGCATATTGGTTTCAGAGCCCCTCATTGTTGGCCTGTTAGGGGTTGTGGTATCATCTAGTCTGCTTGTGTATGTGGATTTTTTTTTTTTTTACATATAATGGATTCAAAGCTTTTGACCTTATTGATAGAACATCTGTTCTCTGTACCAGGCATAAATTCAAACGTCCGAGACATTTATCTGGCACATTCTTTCCTCTGATAGACTTCATAATTTTTGTTGTCTACCAATTTATTAGCTAGTTAATCAAAAATTTTTATGACAAAAGTAATTTACACCATCCTAAAAAAAAAAGTAATTTATAGGTCAGTAGACTTTGTTCATTCCAAAAATATTGGAAGGAAAAGATATAGAGAATACTTGTATATTTCACTATAGTTATTTTCCAGGATATCTTACATAGATCTAACTCATATATAATCTGTGTATCTAGTGACCCTAATACCTACCTTTCTAGTTTTTCAGTTCTGATTCTCTTAAGATTCATCAAATTTCTGAAACATCTGTTTCAGCCTCTTCTTTTTTTTTCTTTTTCATTTTAGGTCAAGTAGGAGATTAAAATTAGCCCCAAAGTCATTAGATAACACAGATTTTAAGAAAAAAAAGTGACTCATCTTTTATGATGTCTTAATGTTTATAATATAGCTTAATCATCTTGGGGCCAGGGTAGTACAGCCGGGCACAAAAGGTCAGAGAGACTCACAGAGTATCTGTAGGTGGCTCTTTGATCTTACAGTTGCTCACTGGACGCAATTACTCCTTTAACCCATTGGAGTCCTTACTGCCTCTAAAGCACTATTAAAATTCTGAAATAAAGTTAATACTGCAGTTGTCTTCTAAAACGAAGACAAAAAGCAAAGCAAAACTTCAAAAGTACTTCAACCCACACACACTAGCACCTTCTAGTGAATTAATATAGGAAGAGCTGAGGTTTATCTCTTTAACACGAGCCAAATATCTGCAGTACCTGACATTTGTTGCAGGATTTCCTGTATCCAAATCTATAGCTGTGTATGTGCCAAGCACAAAATTCAATAAGGAATTTCCTTTCAGTCCTTCTCGCACACTGAACGTCATGGAATTTGGATGAAATGCGGGTCCTTCTCTCACATTAACAACCTGAATTCTCACAGGGGTTGAGTGCATTCGGAATTGAGAGGCAACTGAGTGGTGAAACTCAGCTTGGTTTTTAACTCCAATGCTAAGATGAATATTAGGCACTTGTTCATAATCCAGCATCTGAAATGATAGAAAGTTTAAAAAAACAAAACAAACTCTGAAACAGCAAAAAGACTTTCTTGATAGAATTAGAAGTCAAGATTAAAAAAGCAGTACACTAGAATAACTAGGCCAGAAGCTATGCAATTCTGCTCTTGAACCGATCAAATTTTGTTTGTTACCGCATTATGTATATCATGGGCTTCCCCGGTGTTTCAGGTGTAAAGAATCTGCCTGCAGTGCAGGAGACCCTGGTTTGATCCCTGGGTCAGGAAGGTCCCCTGGAGGAGGGCATGGCAACTCACTCCAGTATTCTTGCCTGGAGAATTCCATGAACAGAGGACCTGGTGGGCTACAGTCCATAGGGTCACAAAGAGTTAGACACGATTGATTGGTTAACATTTTCACTTTCACTTATATATATCAGACATGTTATTTCCTTTATCTTTTGGCATAATCAGGTGCATGGTACATGGATCATTTAGGCCTGTGACTTTAAGTTGAACTCTAGTTTCAAACTTCCTACATAAAACCCTAAAATGAAAGATGATCCTTCTTTCCAAATGAGGTGCTTATGAAAAATAATATGTAAAACTTAGAATGAAATAAAAATATTCAGTTATTAAATGAATAAATAGTAGCCATGTCTCTTGTAGAATGCCTATCTGAGAATATCTTGGAAGTATAATCAGAGAAACTAGAAGCCAGTATATATGATGTAATTGAAACTGTAATTTTGAAAAATGATGCAAACAACTTCTAAAGGAGAATTTGTGACTATTATAGTCTATAGCTATTATAGACTATTAGAGCCCTCAACTATAATTTAATTGGGCTGAGTCTGGTGAACAAGAAGACTCCTTCATAGGGCACATTCAAATGAGAAAAGTCACCTTTGAGATGGGTTCTTTGGATAAAAGATGAATAGAATCTTTTGATCCAGAATGACTGATGTGGTGACATAAGAAGTCACCAACAATGATTCAGCACAGAGCTGAAATGAATTGTGGGCTCAAAAATGAATTTTCAACTGGGAGAGATCCATTTTTTCCATTTGTAAAAAAAACAGTTGTATAAAAGGGAGTACTGGGTGCTGTTAGAAGTGCTCTGGGAGCTTAGATAAACATAATTGCAACACATTTACCAATAACAGAAGATAAAACATAAGTACCATCAGCAAGAATCTTAGAAGAATCTCTGCTTCTCAGGGAAATTCCATAACCTCATGAATGTTCTTCTAGATTTTGGTTAAATTCTTCAGAGGAGGTAATAAGATAAAAATATTCACAGGAATTTACTAGGGTTCTTGTTTGGGGCTGGCTCAACATGCCTCACTTAAAATTCAGCTAAAACCCTTGAGATTGGGGATATCAATTGCTGAAATTCCCAGGAATTGACATTTTCTGGTACAGATGTGTTTGGAAGAGACCAGCAGGGCACACACAGTCGGGAAAGATCTTACAGAGACCAATAGAGGGAAAAATCTTCAGATGCTTGTTCTTTCCTAAAACTTGGTTTACTGTTTACGGATTATGCTGTAGGGCACAGAGGTGGCAGTTAAGTATGAGTTTGGAATCAGAGAGATCTGGTTGGAACTTGTCTTTGTCATTTGCTGCCTAGGTGAACTTAGACAAATTAGTTTTCCTCTTTGGTTTTGTTTCACTTTCTATAAAAAAAAAGAATCATAATATTTTCTTCCCTTAGTTCTGATGATTGAGATAATATGCATAGAGCCTTTATACACGTAATATAGCCCAATAACTGGTGTCCAGAGACTGCTTGCTCGCGTGCTCAGTCATGTCTGACTCTTTGTGACCCCATGGGCTATAGCTCACCAGGCTCCTCTGTCCATGGAATTTTCCAGGCAAGAATACTGGAGTGGGTTGCCATTTCTTCTTCCAGGGAATCTTCCCGACCAGGGATCAAACCCACATCTCTTGCCTCTTTCGTATTGGCAGGTGGATTCTTTGCCATGTGCCATGCAGTAACAGGGTCAGCACATGTGTAATAAATCTTGATTAGAGTTATTATAAAAATACACAACCAGTATTTCTTTGTTAGAATTCCAGTTGGATAGTATTTTGCTTTTCTTCTTGATGTTCAAGTGAATGTGTGCATACTCCCCCATCTATTTATATTCTTTGTTATCTATACGTATGTGTTCATAAATACCAAAAAAAATTATTATTGACAAAAAGATTTTCACTTTCTTAGAGATCTTTCTCTTGTTCAGGTATACCACAGGGGCTAATCCTAAGGAGGGTAGGACTGCCAGGCTTCCATACCCAAGAAATGGGGTTAATTAATTATGGGCAATAGTGAGAGCTGGTGGGGAAAAGGAGAAAAAGGTTTGCTAAACTAAGGATATCACAGCCCTGAAAGGAATAAGGTTTCCAGAACAAAGGGAAAACCGTGAGGATGAATCTGTTAGGATTTTCTGCTCAGAAAATCCTTATGAGTGATTCATAAGTGCGATGGTTATAAAGTGGGATAGTTCCTGGAGAACTGGGACCATGTCTGATTCATATTCCTGGCACCCTTTATTTCTCAAATTTGGGTTGAACTGGATTATTTGTAATGTCCTCAGACTAAACAAAGGGTTCTAGAAATCTTAGTCAAAAACTTGTGACTTAGAGGTCAGTATCTACGGGGTTAAGTGATAGCTAGAGTGAATATGGAGAGAGTCCCAGAGGACATTAGTGACCTCATTCCAAATGCCAAATCTTGGAAAATTGCACATATATCCTCTACACACATAGCTCTTTTGGCTGTGTGCTAGCACACATATTCAGTTCAGTTCAGTTCACTCGCTCAGTTGTGTCCAACTCTTTGTGACCCCATGGACTGTAGCACACCAGGCTTCCTTGTCCATCACCAACTCCCAGAGCTTACTCAAACTCATGCCCATTGAATTGGTGATGCCATTCAACCATCTCATCCTCTGTCATCCCCTTCTCCTCCTGTCTTCAATCTTTCCCCAGCATCAAGGCACACACATAAATATTTTAAATTTTACTAGCCCTTCTACATTATTTTGATGTTTTAAAGCATATTGTTTTCTGCTCTTTGTAAGAAACTTGGGAAGTTATCATTCTGAAAAAATATACATATTTTGTTTACACCATGTCTAATACTACCTTGACCAATTTTTCATGAAATTGAATTTCCAGTAGTTTTTTTTTTTCTTTTTTGCAATAGTGTAAATAGATCTTTAAAAAAGTTTTAGCTTTCACAGAAAACATTATGTATGTCACAGATAGTGCACTGCCTGAGTGATGAACGTGTTTTCATTTTTCTAATTTTGTAGAAATGATGAACTCTGCATTCAAGCTCAGTGCCTCCTGTTTCGGTGAGAGCAGCAGTTTCAGTAAGTGGCATCATCATTACTCTCGAAGTTTGGTGAGCTGCTGCTATATTCTGAACACGGGACCAGGTTCAAGGGATGGAAAGATATTTGGGTCAAGTTGTTTGTGCTCAAAGATTTTTTTTTTCTCTCTCATTTTAGAAGTTTAGGAGGCAGATTAAAAGCAAAAAAAAGTTATATATTGCAAGTAATATACGAAGACAGTGATAAAGGTGGTAAGAAGATAGATAAGAATTTCATGACATGTCTAGATCTTGATTTTTAACTAAGATGCAAAGTAGAACAATTTCTGATCTTTGGTAAGAAATGTGACTAAATATTCAGAATTTGATGAGGTGACAGGCAACCTCCTCTCTCTTTCTATCCATGTCACATTTGGCAGTGGCTCCTATTTTTTCCTTAATTTGTATTTTGACTTCATTCACTTTAGATCAGGTTCCTAACTTCAAGATTTCATCAACATAATAATTATTTTCTTTCATCTTTCTGGAGTTAAGCTTATAATGTTATGGCTATTTAAAAATATACCCCAAAGCTTTTCTTGGTGTATAAGTAGGGCTGGTGAATTTTTTTGGTTAAAGGAAGATATAAATATTTTAGGCTTTGGAGGTCAGATACAGTTTCCATGTTGAGCATTCAGTTCAGCCAATGGAGTGTGGAAACAGCCATAGGAAATATATGAATGAATGTGTGTGGTTGTGTTCCAGCAAAACTTTATTTGCAAAATTGGCAGGTCAGATTTGGCTGCTGTTTGCTGATCTCTGGCCCAGAGCCATGTTTCTCAAACAGGAAGTTCATTGCGTATTCTTGGAGTCTTTGTTTTCTCTTAAGGAATTTTGAAATGTCGTATATTGATTTGAATGGCAATTTTAAAAGCACATACAGATGTTTTCCATGTTTTTGATGACTGCCTGTAAATTGATACACTGCATGATTTCTGTGCTAGTGGTTGTATTTTGTGGTAAATACTTTGTAGTAAATATTTTGTAGTAATACTTTAATTTCTCCAAACAGTTGCAAAAAGGACAGAAAAAAAATTCAATATATAAAGAATATGTTTGCATCAGATGAGGGCTAAATGGCTTCCTAATTTACTGTCTGGAAAAAGGTATCACAGTAACTGGAATAGAGAAAAGTAGTAACAACTGAATAATCACAGTTCACACTGCATGCTAAAATAAATACATACATAGGTCTACTAGTATATGTTTTCATAGCTATAAGTTCTGTTTATGTTGTTAGTGGTAATTTTGTTTGTGAAAAATTGATTTCACTTATTTCATTAATGCTAATTTGAATCTTATTGGTCTGTAGTTTTATTTGTATTTTTAGTTTTTATTGTTGTCCATAAAGCATAAAGTAGTTCAAGAAAAATTAATCTATAAGAAAGAAGTCAAACCCTACAGTCTAGTACTCAAAGTTCTTAACATGTGTTCTTGCATCTCATCACTTTTCTCCATGAATACTCTGCAACAGCCCCACAGAACTGCTCATCATGCCTGAACACGCCTTTTGCCTTCTCACCTGTGTGTTTGTGCATTTTGTTACCCACATTAACAATCTCAGTTATGAAGTCTTAAACCTGATTCCATGACTGAAACTCTTTCAGCCACCTCTTGCTCAGAAAGATCTTATCTGTTAGCACTTATTTCATATTTCACCCATCTGGCTATTCACTGGGGCTTCCCAGGTAGTGCTAGTGGTGAAGAACCTGCCTACCAACGCAGGAGATGTAAGAGACATGGATTTGATCCCTGGGTCGGGAAGATCCTCTGGAGGAGGGCATGGCAACCCCCTCCAGTTTATGCCTAATACCATAGCATCTACTATGTGTTTGGTTTTTAACTCATATTATTACCTAGTTTGGAAGTACCTGCCTTATTGTTTCAACTAGATGTTGGGCACTGTGAGTACAAAACAGACTTCTTATTTCTCTTAGTAATAAACACTGCATTGCTGAACTGACACAGTCCACTAACTCAGGATACTTGCCCACACAAGTAGTATGCAAGGTTATGGTATATTTGTTATAGAGACATTCTCTCTCTCAGTATTTTAGCCCTTCTTGGAAAGGAAATATTGCAGATCCCATACTGTACCTTGACGACTTTCAAAATGCCTTCGTTGGTTTGTGGGTCTGTTTGAATATCAAACCAATTCCCATCATTTCCAGAAAGAATTACATATTTTGCCAACCAGTTGTCAGTGCCTTCTTCGTCAAGATCAATTGCTTGAAATCGGATCAATTCCGAACTTAAACAGTTCTCTTCGATACTCGCTGAGTACTGAAATGGCACAGATCAACTTTATAATCAATGCATTTTCAAAGGGAAAGAGATTGACTTATCATAATTATTATTTGAAGTGCTAACAATAGACTATGCCAATGATTTTTGCATCAGCCATCTGTCCTATCAGAAATAAAAGGATAAAATGATTACAAGATAATAAAACTTATTTTCTTGTGCTGCAGGTGGAATCAAGGTCAAACAGGCACTTCATTTTATTTTTCTTGCTTATTTTAAATTTTCCTTAAGTTAGTTATTCCTTTTATGTGAAGGGGGGGATGGTAATTATATTAGACTTTGTGGACCAGAGCGTTTGTGTCGGTTACTCATCTCTGCTGTTGTTAAGATCAAAGCAGCCACAGACAACATGGGACAGTTGTGGCCCAATAAAACATTTTAATTTTAACCAAAACAGGCAGTGAGCCAGGTTTGGCCCTACTGTTTTCAATTGTGTGCCTCTTTATGAATATGAAAGTTGGAATATTTGGGACTTTTCTGGAATTGATTCAGCAAATCATCAGGCATAGAAAAATACATCAACGTTGTTACATGATTCCCAGAGTTGTGTTCATAAATTGCTGCATTTCTGTGAGTAGAGTGTGGGGGAGATAGTTCATTGCTGCCAAAGAAGAGATTTACACAGAATAGTGACTCAAAGGCATACATGCTATTCAGTGAACGTGAAAGTCACTTAGTCGTGTCCGACTCTTTGTGATCCCATGGACTATACAGTCCAGGGAATTCCCAGGCTAGAATTCCAGGCTACTGGAATTCTCCAGTAGCCGTTACTTTCTCCAGGGGATCTTCCCAACCCAAGGATCAAACCCAGGTCTCTCTCATTGCAGGTGGGTTCTTTACCAGCTGAGTCACCAAGGAAGCCCCCAAGATACGGAGTGGGTAGCCTATTCCTTCTCCAGCGGGTCTTGTATATGACTATACGTAAGAAGTTCCAAAGTTTATACAGTGAGAAAGTTGAGTACGTCTGCATGTGTCATAACCCCATGGACGGAGGAGCCTGCTGGGCTACAGTCCACGGGGTTGCAAAGATTGGACACAACTTCGCACAGTACATCAGCATATATGTCATAGAACCCGGTTCACAAACTAGCAGGAAAGTAAATCTGTTATCGACCCTTATGGGGAAAAAGGGAGTAGAAGAGTAAGAACTCACGGAAGTTTTCTCCAAAGTGGGGAAATTATCATTGACGTCTAAAACCTTGATTCTGCAGTCACACTCTGAAGATAGTCCATCCGTAGCTCCATCCCGATCTGAGCCCCTCACGAGGAGGTTATACATGCTGTGTTGCTTAAGATGAAAGAGAATTTTAAGACTTTGACCTAGTTTGGAATACAATCCAACACATTCTGATTATTCCATTTTCTTTTATAGTTTTCTGTCATCTTTTAATACAATATTTTTTTCTTTTCATCATTTTCATTAAAAAGTAATGGCTGGACTATTTTTAGTCTTCTCCTTTACACGAAAAAGGCATGGGCACACATGAATCATTTCATCTTTGTCTCTTCAAAACTGAATTCCTTATTTTTAAAAATTCATTCACAGCAGGCTTTACCTCTCTGTCGAGGAAATTGGACGTCGTGCGCACTTCTCCAGTGTACCTGTTCATGATGAACATTGGTGAGCCCGCCGGCTCCTGAGACACGATCTTATAGGCAATTTTAGAATTCAGATGATTGTCTTCATCTGCGTCTGTGGCACTTAGCTTTACCACCAGGGTGTCTAGAAATGAAGATGGAGGCGAAGAAGGTTTGGGAGTCTGTTAGAATCAATTCTGCAAATCATCAGGCATAGGAAGAAAGAGTAGTCTGCCTTCTCCTGAATTCTCTTGTTCTGTTTTCCATGAGAATATAGTACCATGACTTTCTGCTTCACTGCTGATTACAAAGATAATGGTGGTTTCCTTCTATAAAATCCTTTACCATTTATAAAGTACTTATACTCCTTAAACGACTAGGTGGCAAATTAGCAAAATATAGGAATCTTTTTAAATAATCAATAATCTTTGTTTTAAAATGTACTTATTAATTTATTTAAAGTGACAACAATAAACTCAGTATGTTTACATGAGTCACATTTTTTTAAATAAAAAATGAACTATATCACAATGGAATTTAGTGACACGGTTGGCATTGTCTCACGTTTCTGCAAATGTATTTTTAAAAAACTTTAAAAATTGTTTAATACAACTTTTAAAAATTACTTTCCATTTTCAAATGCAAATTTGGCTTTTTCTGATATTGAAACTGCCTGTATTTCAATCTACTAAAGCTTTTGACCAAGACAAATAGATGGTGTAACACAGTGAAGACATGTCACTCTACTTACTTGCATCGCTGTTTTCTTCAATGCTGGCTGTGTACACATTTTGTGTAAAGACTGGGGGGTTATCATTTATGTCCATAACTTTGACTCGAAGCTCAAGAGGCCTTTCTAAGTCTTCACCCCGTGAATTCAGAGCCCGGCAATAAATCTGTGGAAAGTTGGAAAAAAAAACCCAAAACCCTGTTTTCACCAAAAAAAGCCTGAAAATATATCAGGTAGTGTGCAAAGCAACAATTTTCCCAGTAAATTCAGACTGTATTACAATCTAGTGATTTAAGTATTATCAAGATATTTGATTATATACATAATGTAACACATGAGAGAATCCTGAACTGTAAATTTATATTTTCATACTCTTTTCATCTATTTAAGTCATTTATTTGATTTTAGTCTACTGTGTTTTTTCAAAAGTAAGCATTAGTCCTGAGATGATAGTTTCTAAAGAAAAAAAATATGCATAACTCAGAGCACTGCTGTGACTTACCAAGAAAAGTGGTGTTATTTCTCGGTCTACCACTGAAGTGATGTTAATTTCCCCTGTCCGAGGGTTAATGGTGAACACTCCATAGGGCGGCCGATCGATTCCTGCCCCAGAGATGCGGTATGTAATCTTCTGACTCACTTCACAGTCTGACCGAATCTATGAAGAAAATGGCCAGAAGTGTGATTTAATTTAGAGCAGGTCATAATCTGCCGAGTGTAGTGGACCGAGAAGGGAATGGGCTTTGTAGTCAGGTGGGCTTTGAACCAAAACCTGGAGCCATGACTTACGTCTGTGTAACTTTAGAAAATTCACTTAGCTTTGCCAAGCACCAGCTGATAATGAGATATTAATAATACCACCTATACCCTGGGTTTGTTAATACCACCTATACCCTAGGTTTGCTCTGGTGATTGTATGAGGTAGCACATAGTCACCTCACCCCTCCTCACTTCACCCCAACTCCTGGCATATGGCACTTATGTGCTTGACGCTACACTTGTTATTATGAAAACATTCTTCAATTTTCTGGTTCTCTTTGCTCCTGGAGAAAGAATTTGAGAGAAGAAAGCGCCATCTCTACTGTTTTTTAAAAAGGTGTTTCACATTAATATGAACAGTCTAGACTTTTGTTAGAGATTTAATCAAAATTACCAATAAATTAGGAAAGCCAGAAGAGAAGTACAGTGTTTAGAGATACTGGCAATAATTTTATCAGTTGAAGCCTACTGTGTCACTCATTTGCCAAACAGATTTTGTGACAAATATTCTGCCATATAGGTTTTGTTTGAGTAGTTTTGTATATGCTATTCATAAATTTAAAGAAAGATATTTCAATTTTGAAATCTCACCTGTATATTGAAGATGAGAACACCCAGTAAAATACTAAGATTTGTTGCCCAAATATCTACACTTGAACAATGACAGCTGAAAATACAACTTAGATTAGTTCCCCTTAATCTAAAGATCTTATTTATGTAAGTGAAAATCCAGGAAATCCCCCAAATGTGAATAAAAAGAGAAGAAAAGGAAATGGCAATCCACTCCAGTATTCTTGCCTGGGAAATCTCATGGACGGAGGAGCCTGGTAGCTACAGTCCATGGGGTCACAAAGAGTCGGACACGACTGAGCGACTGACACAAAATGTCACACAAATGGGATAACAGAAAGCTGTAACTGTGAGTTGAATGGAAATGGTAACAATTTAAAGCTTTCCAAAAATTTCCAAGAATTTGAAAACTTCTGAGAGAAAATAATCTCTTTTCTTGAGGTGAGGTTACATCTTTAATATCAGTGGGATGCTTATATATGTAAAGCTTTAAGCAATGCATATATGTAATATTTAAGGAGAGAATTCTGGTAGATCACTGTACTGTTGATTTCACCATGAGGGCAGGGCCAAGATATCCAGAAAGCGCTAATGAGGCTGTTAATGCGGGTCCCCTCCTTCACGAATCAATTTATTATATATTCTTTTCTTCACTCTCCTTCTTTACTGATTGCCAGTATTTAGAGTACCTTTTAAGACTCTTCTAATCTGGATGTAGGAATCTAGTGGAAGTTTTTGACCCTGTCCTGACTCTCCTGGAAGGGATTAATAAATACTGTAAACCTTCCCAGGTGGTGCTAGTAGTAAAGAACCCGCCTCCCAGTGCAGGAAACGCGAGACTTGAGTTCATTTCCTGGGTCAGGAAGATCCTCTGGAGAAGCAAATGGCAACCCACTCTAGTATTCTTGCCTGGGAAATCCCATGGACAGAGGAGCCTGGCAGGCTACAGCACATCGGGTTGCAGAGTCAGACACGACGGAAGTGACTTCAGACAGGAATCTAGTGGAAACTTTGACACTATCCTGACTTGGAGGGAATTAATCAATACTGTAAACCTTTGATTTTGTAATATAAGACTATTGCATACATCATGCATACCCCTCCTATAACATAGACATGTGACAGTACACAGAATGCAAACCAACAGATAAAGCTCAGTTGTGCAGGAGATCCAGATCTCCCCGGATCACTCAAAGACCCTCTGCTTTGTATTATCAGCTCCCAGATATTCAAAACAGTGTCTCAACAATGTGAACAAATTGCTCCACATCACCCATCTTCCTAAGTCACTATGGTGTCCTGGAGGCTGCAAGTCCTCAACATGTGTGGGGCCTTTTCTGCCTCCAGAAGCCTTTGTTATCAGCACAGCCTCCTCCTGTTTGTTTCACCACTTACTCTGGCAATTGGATTCCTCTTGGAGTTATCTTCTCCTTCTCGACAGGCTGCAGCAAACTTGATCCACTCCCGCTTCTGTCTTCTGACCGTTTGCCATTTTGCGGTGCCATTTTCCACGTCCAATTCCTTCACCTTAAGCAAAAAGCGTTCCCATTTTGCACAGTGTTAGAGCAGTTTTACTCAGTAAGGACATTTATTCAACACTGTAAGGTGCACCCAGAGAAAGCAACGGTGTTGAATTTGAGAAACATAGAAAGTGTTTACTATTTCACAACTCTGGATGGACACAGCCTGGTCACCTTGACTTAGCAACTTCTCTTGGAATGATCTCTTTCTAACTATAGGATTCTAGTGAAACAAATTTTCTTAGCTTTGTATGGAGCTTATAGTATGTTCAAATGGGTAACAGGTGTGGTTTTTCTTTCTTCACTCTCTCCTCGCCAAGTGAGGAGTCCTGCCCACCTCACCCTTCACTCTGCTGTGACCAGGATTCCTGGTCTCCAGAGTGTAAAAACTGCAGTGCTCTGTGTTAGTATATCCCCTGTGAAAAGAGCTTTGTGCTGGTGAGTGTGCTCAGCTAAGAGAGGGAAGGGATTTTTCTCCCTCTTGATAAGGACACTGCCCTGGCATCCAAATAGATTAGCGCAGGATTAGAGGGATATTTTAGCTGAGTTGATGGTACCTGCAGTAATCCCATGGACGCCTAGATGGCTTTTCAGCATTGTCTGTTTATATCTTTGCTTGCTATATGTTTTTCTCTGTAGTCTTATGTTGCTATTGTTGGAGGATATTTAAGAATTTTATAGTTAAAGAATTTACATGGGAGGTGAGAGGCAGGCTCAAAAAGGGAGGGGGACATATGTATAGTACCTGTGGCTGATTCATGTTGATGTATGGCACAAACTAACACAATATCATAAAACAATTATCCTTCACTTAAAAATAAATAAAGAAGAAAAGAATTTAGAAATATTACTACTTAAGTGTTTGTATACATGTGTACTTATGTGTAGAGATTTTTAGCAGTAACTCCTAATATATTTATCAAGATGTGGATAAGTGTGTTTGCTTTAATCAAGACTTTATCTAATTACCACTTTGGGAAAGAAATCAGTGAATTTCAAGAATCAAAGAATTCTTAAATTCTTTCAAGAATCAAAGAATTTTTCATTTTTGCCCCATTTTGATGCAACTTCCATTTGATACAAATGTTCCCCTGTTTGCCACAGAGATTAGAAAACTAATTTTTTTTTTCAAAGGTTTGAGATTCTCAAAATGGAAATTTAACTACTGAAATAAAGTCCTGCTGGAGATAGAGGATAGTAGCTTTATATCCTGACTCCTGCTCTAAGAATCTGCACTAGATTCTCTGTTGTTTTGTTTAGTTGTGATTACATATTTTTTACTTTTGTATCTTTTACTCATTGATTTACTGTTAGTTATCTTCTTGCTGATGTAACTGTCAAAAAATCCTCTTCTCACTCTAATATGTAACTTTGCTTCTTTTTCTTTGATTTAGGTTGGAAAATGTATAGATAAGCTGATGGCATAGTTTGATAAGTAGGAGTTACTGCACTGAGCTGTCACAAACCATGGCTAAATGCATGGCTATTGGGGAATATAGGTTTTACCATTGCTATTTCAACTTGGAAGAAGTTCTTTCTCATCTTTTATCTCAACTGTTATGGTTTCTGATTTTTGATATATGATGCATTACAAAATTCGGTTTTTCTTTTGATTTTAAATTGAAAAATAGTTTTATTATACATTACCTCAACAACAAATTCACTGTTTACTTCCAGCACCACCTGTTATGGAAGGTAAAATATAAGCATAAATTTTCATAATTTAAAGGAAGCAATACCAGAAAAGCATTGACAGAGTTTTCATTAATTCATTTGTTAAATACTATTTTGTTAATAATATGGAATAAACATGGGTAATGCAAAATGAAAAATACAGGCTTTTTGCTTAACTTTCAGGGAAGACAAAATTTTAACTTAAAGCAAGGCAGGTTAGGATACATACTTCAACATAGATACTGATGGGCTCAGTGAAAGGACAGAGTGGACCACTCAAGTTATCAAGGTGAATCCTGGGAAAGACTCATAGGAGAGGAGGCCATTGAAAGGGTCTTCAGGATGAGCCTGCTTTGATAAGAGGAATTGATGGGGAAGAAAATTTTCGCAAGAGGAAATCACAAGTATAGTTGTAAAGGCACTAAGTTTTAGAGGATGTTCTGGAAATTGTAAATAATATTCAGCCAGTTCAGTTCAGTCGCTCAGTCATGTCTGACTCTTTGCGACCCCTTGAACTGCAGCACGCCAGGCCTCCGTGTCCATCACCAACTGCCAGAGTCTACCCCAACCCATGTCCATTGAGTTGGTGACACCATCCAACCATCTCATCCTCTGTTGTCCCCTTCTCCCCCTGCCCTCAATCTTTCCAAGCATCAGGGTCTTTTCAAATAAGTCAGCTCTTCGGATCAGGTGGCCAAAGTATTGGAGTTTCAGCTTCAACATCAGTCCTTCCAATGAACACCCAAGACTGATCTCCTTTAGGATGGCCTGGTTGGATCTCCTTGCAGTCCAAGGGACTTGAGGAATTAGAGGAAATGATGAGGACTGTGGGTGACAAGGCTTAGATGTGAGCTTGGAGCTGGATCATGAAGTTTTGTATGCCAGGCTCAAGAGTCTAGACTTTACTGGGTAAGAGACTGGGAGTGATGAGAACATGATTTTTAAAACACGTCATTGACACAAAGAGGAGATTACAAGGAGAAAGTGCTTGAAGTTGACAGCCTTAGATAGCAGTTGCTTAGGTAAGGCATAGAACATGAACATCAGTGCTCAGGTGGCACTGGGAAGGGGAGAGGATAGAAGCTTGTGGGCTGCGGGGCAGGAGAGAGAAAGAGTCACATGATTCTGTGAGGAATCATGTGAGGAAGAAGAGAGGAAGGTGAGCGAGGCTTTCTTGGAGAATTGAGGTACTGTTAATAGAAACAGAAAACTCTGCAGGAGATTATCACTGCAGGGAGATGGTGACCTAAGTTTGTTTTATTTGTTTTCAGTGGGTTTCTGAAATTTGGAGTAGATATAAAAGCTATATGTGTGTGTGTGCTCAGTTGCGTCCGACTCTTTGCAACCCTGTGGACTGTAGCCCACCAAACTCCTCTGTCCGTGGGATACTCCAAGGCAAGAGTACTGGAGTGGGTAGCGGTTCCCTTCTCCAGGGAATCTCCCCAACCCAGGGATTGAACCCATATCTCTTGAAACTCCTGAATTGGCAGGCAGATTCTTTACCAAGTATGCCACCTATAGAAGTAGAATTTATCCAAACAGGAGTTCTGTTTAAAGTTGAAGGAATTGACGCTATGTCTTGAAACAGCTTAAGATAAAAGAAGTAGGCAGGGATCGGAATCTAATGGGAACTGCTTGTATTGTGCAGAGGTCAGAAGGGAGAAGTCTGAAAACAGAGGGCACCCTGAGACTAACAGAAAAGAGAGGTCAAGGGATCAGGGCTGTGGGTGTGCAGCAGATTCTGTTAGTGTGAGAATGCTAAGAAGGGGTAGGGGTTATGGTCCTTGCAGTGGAGGGCTGAAGAGGATGTGTAGTTCAGAGAGTAAAAGAAGTTGGATAAGTAGGTGAAGGAGAAGCAGCCAAAGAGCAGGCCGAGTGAGTGGACTGGGGTGCTGAGTTAGACAAAGAGGGAATATTTAGTGGTTTACGTGCCATAACAAGGACAAGCAGAATGGGAATGAGGACATCATGGGATCTAAAGTAGTCAGTCTTTGCTAACTTTTCCCAGGGGCATAAATCAAATTACAGGAGTCAAGAAATAAGTTATTGAGAAAAATGGAAATAGCAATTATAGATTACATTTTCAAGTTCAGAGATTTTAAAAGTGTGAGATGCAGTGAGGATTTAACTAGATCAAGTCATATTTTGGGACACCATGATCAAATATATAGTCTACAGGGAGAGGAAATGGGACTGTGGAGAAAGAGTGATAGGAAGAGAAAGGAAATGGAGGGGGAGAAGGGGGAAGAAATCAAAGGTGGTTACGACTGTGATTGAGAAAATTTTGTTGTTCTTTAGTCACTCAGTTGTGTCCAACTGTTTGAGACACCATGGACTGGAGCCCTCCAGGCTCCCCTGTTCACGGGATTTCTGAGGCAAGAATACTGGAGTGAGTTGCCATTCCCTTCTCCGTGGGATCTTTCCAACCCAGGGGTAGAACTCATGTCTCCTGCTTTGGCAGTTGGACTGTTTACCACTGAGCCACCCGGGAAGCCCTGATTGAGAGAATAGGAATGGCTGAATCAGAACGGTGGGTGAAAGAGACCAGATAGGAGGAAGACTGTTTCTTCTTTTGAAACAGAGGGTCAAAAGAAGACAATGAAGAGAGAAAATCATTTGGAGGTGTAATTGGAGGACAATTACACACATACCTACTCCGTAGTTCTGAACAGTTGGAGTGAGCAGGCGTGGGGATGGCTCGAAGAGACTGTCAAAGGCCTCTGGAAGCTGCCAGAGGGGACGTGACAGGAAGCCAGCCCAACAAGCCCGAGTCAGAGAGGAGCCGTTGGCCCGCCTAGCATTCTTGAAATGATTATTCGCTCATTGTGCATTTGTTCTGTGCCTTTTCTAGCTGTACTTGACAGTCTGGGAGTGGGTGGACAAAGAATACGAGGGCTGTTCTGGTTTGGGGGTTTGTGGTCAAGAACAGAGCAGAGATGCAGGGAGGGGATCAGACATGACTGTGAACCCCAGAGAGTCAGTGAACTGAGACAGAGAGCCTGGGACTGGTGGAGGGGCGCAGAGCAGATTTTGCAGGTGTGAAATGGGGGGGTAAGAGGGAGGGTAGGGTGGGGATTTGGAATGACAGGTGAGTCCAGAGAGGGTAAAATACGGAGGAGAAATTTGACAGTAGGGCCCAGTATTTCCTTTTAACTTACTTTCTCACTCATGTATACTTTTATTAGACATAGTAAAATATCTAGGCCTGGGAAGAAAGTTTATTATTGAGCAGATTTAATTGGTTGCATAAGATGTCTTATTTTGTAATTAATATTGCCTTTTGGGGACTTCCTGGGTGGTCCAGTGGTTAAGAATCCACCTTCCAATGCAAAGGATGCAGGTTTGATCCCTGGTCAGGGAACTAAGATCCCACATGCTGCAGGGCAACTAAGCCCCTGGACACAACGAAGATTCAAAGTATTGCAACTCAGACCCAACATAGCCAAATAAATAAATAAGTAGGCTTTTTTTTTTTTATTTTTGTTTTTTGGGGTTTGGTTTTTTTTTTTTTTGGAAAATTGGTTGTTTTTGGAGGTTTTAGGAAGTTAAAAAAATCACATAGTATCCCATTACTTGGAAATCACCATAGTTAATATTTGGAGAAATTCTTCCAGGAATTTTTTTTTTTAAACACATATACAAGTTGTAATTTTTTTTAACCAAAAAGAAATCATATTATAACATGCCATTTGATAATTTGGTTTTTGCACTGATTATTGGGGTAAAGGTCCATGTCAGTGAATACATGGAGACATTGTATATTTTGAAGGTTGCCTCATGTACCACTTTAGTAGATGTCTTCCATTCAGGGTATCAGGATATTAGGATAACAGAGAACTGACAGATTCTGTGATTTAGAGCTGGAGACGAAACTGACATGTGATTCTCAAGTGCTGTCCTCAGATGCTCGGTGAGCTCAGCATGTGAGCCCACAGTTACTGAGAAGCTCTCTGTCCTCATCTTCACTTCCCCCTTGTCTCTCTTCTCTCTCTCCTCGACTTCTCCTCCTTCTTTCTCTCTCCTTTGATATTCTCTTCCACCTATTCCTCTTGTCCTACCTGATGTTGTCTTAGGTTCGACTGAGAATCATGCTAGCCTCAGTATGCTACTTCCTCTCTGAGCTATAATCAACCCAGTAACCTAATTTTAACTGGAAGGTAGTGAGAGTGAGTCCTAGCGGGGTTCTGCTCATAACTCAGTGAGTAATGTGGCAGTAATTTTCCACTGTATCCACCCTAGTTTCTGCCTACTTAAAAGTCTGCCAGGTTAATATTGGATGTGTGTGGTATGAAAACACCCGCTGGAGGATGGATCCAAATTACTGACTCTTTTTGTTAAGTTAATTAAGCAGGAGGCTATTAAACTGGGGTGGCTCTGATGCTCTGGTGTTGAGGCAAGCAAACCAAAATCTAAGCCTGTAAATGCCTCAAGGATAGCTGTTCACAAATAGTCCACTAGGCTTTAGGCTGTGTTTGTGGGCTTCAGTCGTGTCCAGCTCTTTGCAACTCTGTGGACTGTAGCCCCCCAGGCTCCTTTGTTCATGGGATGCTCCAGGCAAGACTGCTGGAGTGGGTTGCCATGCCCTCCACCAGGGGATCTTCCCAGGGATCGAACCTGTGCCTCTTGCATCTCCTGCATTGCAGGTCTTTACTCACTGAGCCACCTGGGAAATCCCAGGCTTTAGACTGCAGCACCAGTAATTTCTCAATTAATTAAACAAAAAATCAGTGCTTTGGGTCCATCCTCCAGCGGGTGTTTTCATATGACACACATCCAGCATTAACCTTGCAGACTTTTAAGTAGGCAGAAACTAGGGTGGATACAGTGGAAAACAACCTAAGACATCTAAAAAATTTCATCACGAGTTTAGATAGCTGTAAAGGATGGAATTTAAGAATATTGTAAATGTTGATATTTTGAAATAAAACTGTTACACTACTTTTTAAATGTAGCCAGTAGAATCCAAAAGTTGTAGTCATTTGATGCCAAAGAACCCATCAGCAAAATAA